GAGGACCCTAAACTGAGAAAATGCCTCTATAACATCAGGCTGTAGGCAAGCCTGTAGAACATTGTCTTAACTAATAATTGATGGAGGAGGGCCCAGCCAATTGTGGGTGGTGCCATCTCTGGACAGGTCATCCTGGGAAAAAGCAAGCTGAGCAAGCCATGTGGAACAAACTAGTGAGCAGCACCCCTCCATGGCCTGTGCATCACCTCCTGTCTTCAAGTCCCTGATTACTTTAAGCTCCTGTTCTGGCTTCCTTCAAGGGTGGACTACACTGTGGAAGTGTAAGCCAAATGAAGCCCTTGTCTCCAACTTGCTTTTGGTCATGTTTCACTGCACCAATGGAAACCCTAAGACAGTATCCCAAACTGGCTTGGAACTCAGTTATTTTGCCTCTCCCTCCCAAGTGCTGAGGTTACAGGTTTGTACCATCACAGCCACTCTGTATAATTTTTCTCTCTGGGGCAGTTACATAACACTAGCAGCCTCAAATGACACTCAGTTAAAGGAGGGCCTGCAGTCAGTGAACTTACACTGGCTCAGTGATGATGGTGGTACGAAGCCTAAAAGGCCTTCAATTCCTTTCCAAGTTTCAAAGGAAAAGAATGAGAAGCTAATGATTTCATAGGAGACAGCAGTAGTGGATTGGACTGAGGTCCCATCAGTGTGGGACACGGTGGCACATGCTTACTAGCACTTGAGAGGCTCAAGGGCAAGGGAGAGAGCTGAGAGGCAGAGTGCTTGAATGGTACAAGCAAGACCTCGGCCTCAATCTCAACATCATACATAGAAAAACATCAAACCTAAAACACAGAAAGGTACTCTGTGGGAGCCTGTGTGACTTACTGTGAACTATGGATGGGGCAGACTGCAGAATGTTCTTCCCACAGGTGTACTTCTAGAAAGAATTGCATAAGCTAAGGTGAGTGAATGAATTCAAAAGCAAGCACATGAAGAGAATGACCTGGCATGTTTGAATTATCTCTGTGGGAAAGGCGAAGACCTGAGTATTCTTGACTCCTTAGCATGACCAAAGATAGTATTTATAAAACATAAACCAGGTATATTCCCTCGCTGTATCTGAATTTGTTTAGACTGTAAACATCATCTCACCTATGTCCCACCTCAGTAATAAAAATGACAAGTAATGTCTTTGCACTGCTCCTGTGCTCAGCCACTGTGACCCACTACAAAGCATTTGTTGCCCTTCTCCCTCTTGAGAAACCTTCAGGCAGTACTCTTTCTCAGCCCCCCAAAAGGTCACCATGAAGACTGTTTGTCATCTCCCCTTGATCATTACAGGACTATGCTAATACCCTATCTACTGACATGCAAGAAAAAATGGACCCAGTGACCTTTATGACCTTTTCTGAGCAGCTCTGTCCTAAGGAGCTGGAGGAGCTGCAAAAAAGGTGAGCTAGACATAAAAACCCTAAGGTTATGGCCAGAGGCCTACAGTACAAAAAACAGCAGGGGAAGAGGAAGGAATTAGAGCATTTTGAAGATAAGCCACTAACTTGGTTCAGCTTAAAAGGAAAGAGGATTGTGGTTAAATGTTGAAAGTAAATCCAAGTGGATTTGATTAACTGGAGGTGAAAGATACACACCTATTCATAGAACTCAAAAGAATGCCAAGGTCTGTGTTTTGACATGAATCAGAGGCTATAGTTATCGCTTAGCTAAGAAATAACTAAAGGAGAAAGCTGGGGAACTGAAGTTCAGTTTTGGATTCCTTAAAATGTGTGCTGACCAGTTTTATATCAACTTAACACGAGTCTGAGTGTGGGAAGGGGAACCTCGACTGGGAAAACTGTCCACCAGACTGGCCTGTGAGAAGCTGATGGTGCATTTTCTTCAATGATGATTGATGTAGACGGGCCCAGCTCGCTGTGAGTGGTCCTGGGTGCTATAAGAAAACAGGCTGAACAAGCCAGGAGCAAGCCAGTAAGCAGAACTCCTTAGGGCTGGCTCTAGTGCCTGCTTGCACTGACTGCCTTACATAATACCCACAGACTGTAAAACGAAATAAACCTTTTCTTTCCCAAGCTGATTTTGGTCATGGTATTTTATCAATAAAAACCCTAAGACAAAGAAAGTGCTAAGTGAGAACTCAGGCAGAGATGCCAAAGGGCTGCTTGGTATTTGGGAGGGACATCCAGGCTAGAGTTATAAAACTGGAGTCACCTGTATCCTAATGAATTTCATGGTTTAAGACTGGACACAATCACCCCACATGCCTGTATCGACCATCTGAGGACTAAACTCTAAGAAGTTAGGACTGTAGAAATAGACAGGCACAGTGGCACAGGCCGGCACTCAAGAGACTGAAGGCAGGAGACAACTCATTCCAAGCTAAGACTGTGAAATGAGAAACAGCAAAGGAAACAAAGCAAGGGTCAGCAGACAACACACTCTAAAAGAGTAAGTGTCAAACACTTCAGACAGAGTTAGAAAAGAACCAGAATCCACATTAGATTTGTGACCAAGTAATTAATAATATGATAACAACAAATCTGCTGGGATAGTTTTATTTTCATTTTTTCTGAGATAGGGTATCATGTAGCCCAGGCTAGCCCTGAACTCACTACATACCTAGGGAAACCCTTTAAATTCTCATCTTCCTGTCTCTACCTGTAGAGCACCAAGATTCCAGGTGTCTATCCCTGCTGCATGGCTTTGTATCAAGAAAACATTCTACTACCTAAGCTCCACCCTCAGCAACAGAATAGATTTTCATAGAGAACTCAGAGTGAAACTGGAGGCAACTCTTTTACCCATGCTGTGAAGTTACAGCCAACCTGTCAACTCACACTCAGTGACAACAGCTGAATGGCTGCTTATCAATTAGGACATAGCTCAGAACTGTCCAAGTCAATCAGCGTATAGCTACTCCATAGAGTTCTAAAAATCCAAACCAAACCATATTGCTTTCTGCCAAAGGGCAAGGCCTACTTCATGCCTGTGGGCAGGAATATGAGCTGTATCTGGAGCAGTTTTCAATCGTGACACCAATGACACTTCTGTATAGGACTTTATCTGTGGGGCTTTATTAAACACTGTAGGGTATTTTCTAGCATCCGTGTCTTTTCTTTTTAAGATGTAGTTTGATTTCATGTGTATGGGTGTTTTGCCTCGTGTGTGAACATGTGTGCCTGGAACCCAAGGCCAGCAGCATCAGATCCCCTGGAGCTGTCACCTGAGTGCTAGGGATCAAACTTGAGTCCTCAGCCAATGCTCTTAATCACTTAGCCATCTCTGCAGCCCTCCTTGGCTTCTGTCTTCCTAGGACAAAATCAAACTTGGTTGGGGTTCGTTTGTGGGAATGGGACAGAAATCAGAGTATCTGAGTATAAATGATATAAGGTATTCAGTATGGCTCTGAGAACTTGATAAATGTGTTCTCCTTGCTTCTGTTTTACAGAACCAAGGTGTGACCCAAATGAGAATGGCTCCACAGGTTATATAGTTGAGTACTTGTTCTCTAGTTGGTGGAACTGTTTAGGAAAGATTGGGAGGTGTGGCCTGTATTGGAGGAGGTGTGTCAATGGGGGGGGGGCTTAGATGTTACAAAAGCCCATACTATTTGCTTTCTCATATTCTCTCTCTCTCTCTCTCTCTCTCTCTCTCTCTCTCTCTCTCTCTGATCTAGGCATAAAAAGTAGGTGATATGTGTGGCAGAAGTAGAACGGGGGGCTAAGGATGCAGCATTGAGTGTGGTGAAGTGTACCTGTAATCCATGCCTTGGGAGGTGGGGTGGGGGGGCATCAGGTCCTCTGGTAGTTTGTTCAAGGCCAGCCTGAACTTGATGACATCCTGGTTTTGTTTTTTTAATTATTATTAATGGTAAATGGAGATGAAACATCTGCAACAAAGCGCATATTTGCATTTAACTGAGGAAGGGAAGCATGTAGAAAGGAAGTAAGGTCAAAGGGTTGCAGGTCTTGGTGAAGGAGTGAATCTGCATACTACAGTGAATAATATGAATACCAAGGCTTTGGCAGAGGGGTGGGATGAGTCTGAGATATAGAACAATGTGCTGCAAAGGACATTAGTGATGAACAAGAAACAGAAATGGAGGGCATGGTAGTACATGCTTTTAAATCCTAGCACCCAGGAGGCAGAAGCAGAGGTGGATCTCTCTGAGTTTGAGGCAAGCCCAGTCTCCACAGCAAACTCCAGGCCAGCCAGGACTACAGAGTCTCTGTCTCAAGAAAAGACAGGAGAGGAAAAGAAAAGCAAATAGACGAGGAAAAGAGGACAAGTACACCACCTCCAGCCCCAGGGGTACAAAGGATGTGAAAGATTCACCACCAGGTATTAAGAGAAGCAGAGTCTTTCCAAGAAACCTGGTCTCAGAGCAATAAGAAGGAACCAACAGGAGACAAGGGTGAGACGGTGAGGGGATATGGATTTTATAAATGAATGGCAGAGAGAAAGGGAGGGAGGGAGGGAGGGAGGGAGGGAGGGAGGGAGGGAGGAGAGGAAGGAGAGGGAGAGACAGACTATGAAAAGACACATGACTACCAGAAGGCAAAAGAGGAGCTTGGTAGTTTAGAACACCCTGTATCTATATACAAGATAAAGGATAAAGGGCACAATGTCTGTAGCTCTGGTGCTTTTAGTGGTGGGCATTATAAATTCGAGGTGCCCCTCAAACTGGTCAGTGAAGTATTTGTTGTAGTAGTAGTACATCGATAAAGTTATGAAGGCAGCAGTTTTACTTAAGTTACAAATTAGACATCTCCAGGCCTTTTTAAGTGATGTCCTGGATGTCCACTTCAATGAACGTAAACACAGTTTGTTAAGTGCAGTGGTCAGCACAGGGCACAACACTAAAATACTATTAGTTAGGCTATTACTGCTAATAGGATGTTAGTACGACACCCAGGGCTTTCTCCAAGTAGCAGTCATCAAAACTAGCTGCACCACCTGCCAACCCTCACTAGCTTATCCACTGACATCAGTAAGAATTTACCCAGTGCCAACTGAAAAACACAACCTAATTATCAACATACAAAAACCATGTTTTATTGTAGCGTCTGTCATGTTGGGTTTCCACAGGGACCATAAGCCTTATATGCGGTCCAAACCCTTGCCAGAGAAGAGGGGAGTCCAGAGCATCACCAAGACTCACTCCCAGTTCAGCACTCCTCCTGGAAAGCTCTTCTGCTCCTGTTGATGGTGTCAGTCCCTCCATGTCACTTCTACTTCATCTGTCCTATACCTGTGGACCACGGGAAAACCCTGTAAAGGACTGGCGACCCCTTAGCAATTTGTTTTTTGAGACAGCGTCTGTAGCCCAGACTTATATCGAAACCACAATCTCCCTGCCTTGGTCTCCCACATGCTGGGATGATAGGTGCACATAACCATACCCATCGCCCACAGTACTTTCCGTTCTTCTCTACCTTTGTTCTTCAACTTTCTTACCTGTTGATTTCTATCTATCTATCTATATCTACTCTCTCAAAGGAGATGCCACTCACCTCTGAGTAATTCCAGAATCTTTGAGAGGGGTCCTATGTCCAGCCTGAAACATCTCCCAACCAGCTTGTGCTATCATGGCTCCATTGTCAATACAGAATCTGGGAAAGAAGAGATAACAGAACTTGTGGCTGAGACACAGAAAAGCCATAATAATGGAAAGAAGATAACTTAAGACAAAGAAGAGGACTTCACCTCTCATCTGTTGCAAAGAGCTGGGCTCCCCGCTCCTGGCACATTGTCGCCATCATCTCCTGCAGCCTCACATTACCTAGGAAGAGAGGACACAGGGAGCTCAGACTTAGCCGTCCCGCTATCACACCAGCTGTGCTTCCATGACAGTTTACCAGGAGACTGGGCAAAAGGACTGGGAAACAAGGAAGAGATGAAACAAATAGTCCTCCTAACGCTGGTAATTTAGAGTATCAGGAGCAGGAAGAAGGCTCACTGCCCACTGATACATACATCCAACTCCTCCGACGATGAGGGCTTCTTTGGAGCCACAGTGTGCCATGGCTCGCTCCGTGATCTCCACTAGCATTGCAAACACAGTTTCCTGTGGAGGACAGACAAGGCGGAAACCTCAGAGGAGCACCCATTTTACTTTAGCTCTGGTCTAGAACACGTTTTACATCCTAGCTTTTCACTTTTACCTGTAAGGAGAAACACAGGTCTTCAGGAGTACACTCTCCTGTGGCCAGCATTCGCTGTGCTGCATCCTGCAAGTAAAGGGGCAGCAATCCAAACATGAATACCAGTATGAGGCTTTCATAAAAACAAAAGTCCCTGTCCTTGGAAGGATCGCTGACTTCATCACAATGCGATCACACGAGTGATGCACTCCCACACTGGCTTCTCCTTTGTAAATCTTCTTCCTGTTTAAGGAGGGACTGTTTTGCACGGCATCCCTATCTTTAGAATAGTGCCTGGCTCGTAGAAGATATGCAGTATCTGCTAAATGATCTATTCAGCACCTATTACAGTGAATGCTTATGCAGGAAATAATGGTGAGCAAAGCAGACACATCATTTTTCAAAGCAGGGATGTGCTCTCTCTCCTTAACACTCACCTCAATGAAAGACAGAATCCCTGAAAACGAGACATCCATCCCCTTTACAGTGTATGGCAGCTCGACTAGCTTCTTGCCTCTATGTAGAAATGAATAAAAGCACTAAACCCAGGTCGGCTGGCTGCTCACTCTCCAGAACCCTGCCCCCACCCCATACCTCATTAACATAATAAAAAGTCTCTAAAGCTGTAGCAGCCAGGGCTCTTCACCTTCACATCCTCTTACCGCTTTGCCATCTGCTCAATGTTGTAACCTGGACTTGGGTCATTGGAAATCTATCAGCAGGAGAGAGAAGTAGAGAACCATGAATGTACAATGTAAAACACATTCTTCTCATGTCTACTCAACACTCTGGAGTTCCTCCCCAAAACAATGTCAAGACAAGCAACTGGTATCTATTTTTACAAACTATACACATGGACAAATATATTAGTAACAAGTAATAGATCTACATACACAGGAACACTTAATTTTCTACCTATGTTAAATAAAATGGCAAAGACTAGCGTTAGATATGCAAGAAGCCTAAGTTCTATTTACTTCTTGCCTTTTATTTCTTTTTGCTTCCCAGACCCACATCTTATTGCACTCTAAAGTGTCAATGGCCTACCTTCAGCACCCGAGCAAAACGATCCAGGCAATTTCCCACAGCAATATCAATAGTTTCCCCAAAGATGCGGTATCGATGTTCTGAGTAGGAAATCACCTAAGAACAGTGAGACCGCCCATGAAACTTTAAGTCTTTAAAGAGGAATGTTTAGCTATGTGGAAGAAAATAGCATAGTGCCAACATGGCCACTAGACATTCCAGTAAGAAAGAAAGGGAGCTGTCTATAGTGGCTCATACCTCTAATTCCAGCACTAGTCTGGCTGAGACAGGCAGCCATGTTGGGCTACACAGTGAAGGCTAAGGGCAGCCTAGACACATAGCAAGACCCTCTCTCAAGAAAGCCAAACCAGGAGCTAGTAAAATGGCTCTGCAGGCAGAAACACTTGCACCTGAGTCTAGACTTGAGTTTGACCCTTCTCATAACATGGACTCTGAAAGTATGTCCCCTGATGTGTACATGCACAGTAGCATGTGTGTACCCACATACCCACATCTCACACAAAATAAACCCAGATATGATCAAGATATATTTGCCAAATAATTAAAAAAAAATCTTCCAAGAACCAACAAACCAGTGCTTACTTTGCAGCACACATATCACAATTGTAATGATGCAGAGGGTGAGCATGGCCCCTGTGCAAGGATTGCACACACATTCTTGAAGCATTCCACATTATATAGCCTAAGAAACAACACACACACACACACACAAAACTAAAAATAAGAATTTAAAACAAAGGCAAAACAGAGTTTGTTGTGGTGACCACACAGACACTCCTTAAGAAACAGAAAAAGGTGAGCCGGGCATGGTGGTGCAAGTCTGTAATCACAGCACTTGGAAGGAGTTGGGAAGATCAGAATAGCACAGGGAAACCTGTCTACTGCCTCAAGGCCCTGTCACAGTAACATCACAGAGTAGGCTCGTGATCCCAGCGGCTTAGGCTGAGGAAGGAGAACCACAACTTTGGGGCGGGGTCATCTGGAGACTCATAAAGAGTACCTAGAAAAACCATTTTTTAAAAAAGGAGAGCAGGGTGGATAAATGAAGGAAAAAAATATATTTGTAGGGCTAGAAAGACGGCCCAGTAATTAAATCCCCTGGCTGCTGTTCCCAAGGACCTGGGTTTGATTCCCTGCACCCACACAGTGGCTCACAACTGTCTACAACTCCAGCTTTCAGGGATCTCATACCCTCTTCTGTCTTCCTGGCGCCCCTACACACATTCAGGGAAAACACCCACACAAGTAAAACACATTTTTTTTTAATTTAAAAAAAAAAAGAGAGAGAGAGACATATTATCTTGAAGGGTTAAATTCACATTCTTTTCTTTTTAAACAAGAAACTCTAGTTGTATGTTTAAAGTTCTAACATTCTAATTTGTCTCCAGAACTTGCAACTTCATATCTCTGTTGTATTGTCTAAAGCATTTTAGGTCTGAATGAGCCTGGTTTTGCCCTTGCAGCTCCTATAACTCAGGTAGAATACCTTAGCATTAGGATGGAATATAAAGAGACCTACTAAATACCTGCGTATTTCCTCCACTGACATACAAGACAGTTGGGTTAACAGCTCCAGTGATGAGGCGGCCCATTTCAATGTGGCCTATGCAGTGGTTCACGCCTATCAAAGGCTTATTCCACAACTGGGCCACAGTACGAGCAACAACAGCTACAGAAGCCAATGGGGCTCCCATGCCAGGACCTAATAGGTACAAACGTAGTTAGAATCCTAGAAATTAGGAAAAGCACATAAGAAAGTAGATTTGAAAATGGTGGTGGTGGCACCCACATCTGCCCTTGCTGACAACTCTCCCAGACTTACCTTTGGTATAAGCAATGCAATCAATGTCCTTGGAGGTTAATCCTGCTTCTGTTAGTGCCTCCTGCAGAAGGTCTAGGATAACAGCTCGGTGGTGCCTGGCCGTGTCACCTGGAAGGAATCCTAAGGAAAGGCATAGAGATCACGAACCATAAGGAAGGCAGGCATTAGGTTGGTGCAAAGGGAACTGTGACATGGAGCTATGAATTTTAAATCACTATAACTAGGTTCCAAGACATTTTTATTAATCAAAATACAAACCATTTTAATTAACACATTTTGCTGCCAACAAACAAGTTAGCTGGGCGGTGGAGGTGCAAACCTTTAAACCCAGCAAAACAGAAGCAGGTGGATCTCTATGAGTCTGAGGCCAACCTGGTCTACAGAGTTCTAGAATAGCCAGTGATTTGTACAAAGACCTTGTCTCAAACAAACAAACAAACAAACCAATCCTAAAAATTAGTTTACTTATTCTTGCAGCAAACCCATGTTTCAACAAACTCTTGGAAAGCACGCTCTGCATACTGCTAGTTGTGGAAATGTTTTCCCTGTGAAAAGTTGTCAAGGTACTGAACAAGCGGTAGTCAGTTGATGAGAGGTCGGATAAATGTGGGGGATAAAGCAAAACTTCATTTTGGTCATTCAGTTTTGAAGCACTGGTTATGCCACATGCAGTCAGGCATTGATCTGAATTGGGCTCTTTCTGCTTATCAATGCTGACTGCAGGAACTACAGTTTTAGTGCATCTCAATGATCTGCTGAGTACTCTTCTCAGATGCAGTGGTTTCCCTGGGTACCTTCTCAGATGCAATGGTTTTCCTGGGTACCTTCCTCTGTCTCCTTTGCAAGTTCTTGAACAACCAAGGCACTGTTTGTTAGCAGTTCCAGGGACTAAATGTTAGGTATTGCTGGTGTTCCAAAGTATCTCCACTACTTTATCTCCCATTGTAAACTCAAAGTGATTGCTTGATTCCATTTTTATTATTTATTTTGAGACAGTGTCTTACAATGTAGCCCTGGCTGGCCTGGCATTTGCTGTGTAGACCAGGCTAGCCCCAAACTCAGAGATCTGCCTGCTTCTGCCTCCTGGAGTACTGGAATTACAGGCTTAAGTTTCCATACCTGGCTTTAGTTTTTCTTTTTGTCTAACATCATTTCCATAGTATAAGATAAATAGAAATAAACAGCAAGAAATGTCATTAGCCAAAAATAAAAATAAAAGCTCATACAAACCCAAATGTGGTAAGTGCACATTAAGATGAGATATAACGACACTGAAGAATGTATTCTAAGCATAATAGCACAGGCCAGTAGCCCAGCATTTGGGAGGCAAAGGAGGGAGGGAGGGAGGGGCAGAGAATGAATGACTATAAATGCATTCCAGTATCAAACTACAAATTTCAATAATGCAAAAACTGCATTTACTTACTTTTACATTGACCTATTGTTATTAAAAAAAATCAACAAAGACATGGTTTAATGATGTAGAAAAAATATCCTTTACTGGCCTAGGTTTTAAGATATCCTCTTTTCAGCCGGGTGGTGGTGGCGCACGCCTTTAATTCCAGCACCTGGGAGGCAGAGGCAGGTGGATTTCTGAGTTGGAGGCCAGCCTGGTCTACACAGTGAGTTCCAGGACAGCCAGAGCTACAAAGAGAAACCCTGTCTCGAAAAACCAAAAAAAAAAAAAAAAAGATATCCTCTTTTCAGGCCTCAGGTTTTGAGACAAGGACAAGGACACAAAACCTGGGACAACCTTAAACTCAGATCCTGTCGCAGCCTCCCAAGTACTAGGATTACATACTGTACCACACCTTCAGCTAGCTTTCCAACCTCTACACAGGCTACTGGGGTTTCAGAGATGCGCTCGTTCACACACGTTGTGTTCAGGAGCAATCCAAGTTATGCATACCTCCTACTCTTTGGTAGTTTCCCTGTAACTCTACAGAACCCTACGAGGTCATGTTGTTGGACTTAACACATGATAACTACAGGATTACAACTGTCAGTAGCTTCCCTTTAACCACACGCATCTCAGCCTCTGTGCCTAAGAGCCTAGAAGAGTGAGTCCTAAACACACCTATGTTTCTACTCTGAAACATCTCACCTCCTTAGGGAACCTTTAGATGTACATGCAGCTTACATGCCCATGCTACCTTTGAGAGAGGGTAGGCAAGATACGACTTGTAAATATATTAATCGAGAGTTGTGCAGTGCCTGGTGCATTCACATAGTTGTCCAAACCCAATGATATCCATTTCCATTCTAAAGGTACCGAAAAACAGACACCTAAAACAGATTGAAAATACAGTAACTCCTGATATCTGTCCTGCTCTCCCTTCTCCTCATTGTAGATTACTTTGACATTTACCATGCTGTAGTGCAAAACAATCTCTATGTGTATCTACAGAGCAGTCTCAGAACACTTATTTTCGAACGCTTAACTCGTAAGAGCTGCTCAATAGAACCAGACTATAACCAGGAGTGGCTCACGCCTTTAATCCCAGCACTCAGGAGGTATAGTCCCCACACAGCAAATTCCAAGTCAGTTAAAGACTACAAAGTGAGAGCCTGTCTCAAAATATGTATTTAAAAAAACAAAAACAACAAAAAAACCTGAACGAGTCCACGTGACCTAAGCCCATGCGTCTGACTCTTCTAGTCAAAAAGTTACCAACCAAACGCGTAATGAAGTTTTTGTAAAAGGGAGTCTGGAGTGGGGTTACAAGCCTGTAATACCAACACCAGGAAAGCTGACAGGCAACAGTATGGAATATCGGCAAAGAACCCCTGACAGCAAAATGGGACAAGGCGCCGGCGAGCGCGGCCGCAGCCACTCACCGGTGCCTGGGGCCGTGACGTAAGTGCGCCGCGGGTTCGCCAGCACCGTGCCGTCGCGGACCACGCCCACGCCGATCTTGTTGGCGCTGCCTTCGAACCCCAGCACCGCGGGCATGGTGCCCCACAGCTCGGGATCCTGGGACTGAGGGACTAGCTGTAACCGGCACTACGACGAACAACCCAGAACCAAGAGAAGGGACCTTCAGGCGCCAGAAGTGACGTCACGAGGTGCCAGGCGGGCCAATCACCGCGCTCCAGAACCACGTGGGGCGGAGACCTCGAGTCACGTGACCATACCAATCGCCCACGTGGGAACAGGCAGCCTCCATTCTTTGTGCTGAGAGGGGCTCCCAGGCATCGTTGGGAAGTCAGGTACCTTGTTCCAGCACGTCTCGCGACCTTGCTTGCTGAAGGGCCTGACGCGGGCGAGCGGCTGCGTTGCTCATGTCGGGGAAGACTGAGAGAACCGCGGCCCCCGGTGTGCAAACGCCTGCGGGAAGCGGCTCGCTTCCTCTCCTTGTATTTTGATTTCACCGTTTCTTATCCGCAGGCAACGCAGAAAACACTGCTTCGCGGCTGCAGGCGCCTAAGGGCTTTCATCACAACGATGCCAAAGCGGGGGAAGAGAGCGCCGGCCGAAGACGGGGAAGAACCCAAGTCCGGTAAGGTGGTGAAATGAACCCGAGTGCCTCCCACCCCCACCCCCAGGCAAGTTTAGGGCTTTACTAGACCGCCATGCAACTACGGTAAATATGGACCAAGTTACGTTGCAGGATTCCGAGAAGTTTGGGTAACTAGAGCACCTAGTGAGATTATAGTTAACTCTGGTCTGAGCTTGGAAACTGCCAGCTCTTACTACTTTCACTCAATTTTAGAGCCCGAGACCAAGAAAAGTAAGGGAGCAGCAAAGAAAACTGAGAAGGAGGCCGCAGGAGAGGGCCCTGTCCTGTATGAGGACCCTCCAGATCAGAAAACCTCACCCAGTGGCAAATCTGCCACACTCAAGATATGCTCCTGGAATGTGGATGGGCTTCGAGCCTGGATTAAAAAGAAAGGTTTGGATGTGAGTACAATTCAGGATCCGGAGGTAGACCTCCCTTGATAAAGGATCAAGCATCTTGTTTCCTTTGAGTCCACAGGAAGATGTTCTTCTCGTCCTTAGGTTTTTTTCTTGGGGGGTGGGGGTGGCCTTAAATGTCTATTTAAACCCCAATCCTGGCATTTCGTTCTTTTTTTTTTTTTAAACTAGTCTAGAATTTGGGGGGGGGGGGCTTTAACATAACATATCCCCAGTCCCAGTAACCAGTTAACAGCACATTGCTGTGCTTCCAGAGTCTCCAAGCACCCGAGGTTTCCAGCACCCGAGTCAGGCATTCACTCACGCACACGGTTTCTATCTATATCCTGCTGCTTGAATTCCTTCATTACAGGGATTCTCTCCTGTGTATAGCATGTAGCACACAAAATTTTAATTTTCCACATGTTAATTCAGTGGGTAAAGGAAGAAGCACCAGACATCTTGTGCCTCCAAGAGACCAAATGCTCAGAGAACAAACTCCCGGCTGAACTGCAAGAGCTGCCTGGACTCACCCATCAGTACTGGTCAGCTCCATCAGACAAAGAAGGATACAGTGGTGTGGGCCTACTTTCCCGCCAGTGCCCACTCAAAGTCTCTTATGGCATTGGTGAGACCTTAATGACGTTCATGTGTGGATGTTCTTCAGTGAACTCTACTGTTTCTTAATCTTTTTAAAATATTTTACACCGATTTTCATTTTTATAGGTGAGGAAGAACATGATCAAGAAGGCCGGGTGATTGTGGCTGAATTTGAGTCCTTTGTCTTGGTAACAGCCTATGTTCCCAACGCAGGCAGGGGTCTGGTAAGACTGGAATACCGACAGCGTTGGGATGAAGCCTTTCGAAAGTTTCTAAAGGACTTGGCTTCCCGAAAGCCTCTTGTGCTATGTGGGGATCTCAATGTGGCTCATGAAGAAATTGACCTTCGTAACCCCAAAGGAAACAAAAAGAATGCTGGCTTTACTCCCCAGGAGCGCCAAGGCTTTGGGGAATTGCTACAGGCTGTGCCACTGGCTGACAGCTTCCGGCATCTCTACCCCAACACTGCCTACGCTTACACTTTCTGGACCTACATGATGAATGCCCGCTCTAAGAATGTTGGTTGGCGCCTTGATTACTTTTTGCTGTCCCACTCTCTTTTACCTGCACTGTGTGACAGCAAGATCCGGTCCAAGGCTCTTGGCAGTGACCACTGCCCCATCACCCTTTACCTAGCGCTGTGACACCCTCCAGATGTAGCTTCAGCTTCGTGCCTGGGAATAGCTTCCTTTCCCCAGAGAAGTCCAGTATGTTGTCCCATCTTCAGGCTTTTGGTTTTGTATGTGCTCCCCTCTTAAACAGTAAACCAAACTCTTGGTCTCCTTTAAACAATCCAAGTGAAATAAAAGGCCCCACTTTCAACTTCACTGATTTTGTCCCTTTGTGAATCTACATATTCCCGTTTTCATACACAAAAGTTGTTAAATGGGAAAGGTTAGAGCCAAGACATCATTTATTTACAAGCACAGATGAATCCCTAACCTCTCCCGAGCCAGTGACTCTACCTCAGCCCAGTTCAATACTCTGCAACTGGAAGTAAAGTCAGAAGGAGGGATTCAGGGAAGTACAGGGTTAGGGGAACATATCCCATATTAAATAGTTATATATATACACATCAGTTCCTGTAGTTCTGTACAGAGCAGTGGCTGACCCCACCCCACAGGACAGGAAATGTGGGGAGAAGAGACTGAGGGTACTGAGGCCGGAGCCAGCCCCTGGTGAAGTGCAATAGCAGCAGCAAGGTCCTAACGGTGCACGAGAGGGAGGGGAACATCCCCTCCCACTTCCCACCCCCACCCTGCCCTGGAATGTATTAAGGGACAGGAATGGTTCTCAGGGAGCACATACAGGAAGGACATGGCTAGAACCATCTTTAGGATCCAGGCTTAGGGACAATGTTGCCTATTTACCCTAAACAGCAACCCCTGGAAGAAAGCAGCCAGCCAGCAATGGTCTTACCTACCCTTCCAAACCTAAGTAAGGGACTGGTTCCTTCCTACCTCTCCCCAGGGAAAAGGGAGGCAGCTGTTTGGCTTCCTTGTAGAAGTCCAGAGAGCCTTTTGTAGTGTTACTGTTGGTACCAGGCAGCCGCCAGGCACAGACTGCATCAAGGGGCTCAGGAGAAGTTCTGGACAGGATGGCTGACCTTCATACAGCCCCAATAAAGGGCCCGGCCCAAACATAGAACAGCCAACAAAATGACAAATGCCCAGGCTGCGTAGATACCTCCGTATTGCTGTGCATGCCTCCATGTGCCAAACTGACAGATGAGGAAGAAGAGAAAGATGAGGTTACTTTTGTTATCTATTGTTTCAAAGTCTTAGAAACAGTAATGCAACACTAACTTCTGTCTCTGTAGCCCAATCACTTATCACACCTTCAGGGACCTTTCCAAGATCAGGTGGTTTAGCTTCCTTCCCTTAAGCAGGAAAGTACTCCGCCATCCCAGGCATCTGCCAGCATTTCTCACATCTCTGAGTGAGCTAGAATTGCCGGTAACTCATTTCTCTCCAGAGTAGGAACACTGTTTTACTTCTTAGTTTATTAATTAGTGATCTTTAACTTTAGTTCACCTCTACCTAAAAATATACCCCCCACACACCCTATCATCAGACTCACTTTAGTTTGTTTTTATGTTTTGTTTTTTTTTTTAAAAGGGTCTCATGTTGGCACCCTGAGCAGCCTCCTAGTCAATGGCCTTGAAATCCTATCCACCTGCTCCATCTCCTAGGTACTGGGACCACAGGCTAGCCCCGAAATGCTCAGTTTTGCTCAGTTTATGTGGTGCTGGAGACCATACTCAGGGCTTCATGCAAGCTAGGACAATACTTTTACCAGCTAAGCCACATTTGGAGCTGGAAACAATCTACTCTCCCGTTTTGTATTATAGATGGGGTCTTGCTATGTAGCCTGGGCTACCTTAGAACTGCCTGTATTCTCTGATTACAGGGACATAACCCAACACCCAGCTCTTCTACCACTCTTTAAGGCATCACCTTCTCAAATCTTAGCCTGTAACGAGGCTGATAAGAGGTTTACATCCAGGCTACTCACAGCAAGGCCAGTAGCAGTGACTGCCAAGAGTAAACCAAGCAAGAAGCAGCAAATACATCTCTTCCTAGGATACCTGCGCCCAATGGATGACCTGTGAGGGGGCCAATAGAAATTGGTATTTGGAATAGCCCTATTGATTTTTTGCCACACATCACCCCAAGTTACCAGTACAATTCCCTAACCACTTACACTTTCCGGCAGTGAGGGCATCGTGCCAACGTTCGGTCTGTGAATTCTGTCCACTATGGAAAAAGAAAAACAACCGCGTAGAAAGAAAGTTCTCTTCAATAAGAACCCCAAAGCAAGGGGGAGGATGAAAAATGAGAAATAGGACAGTCTTTTTCAGGATTTATTACTATTCCTAGTACTTGCCTCCTCCAGGGTTTCCCAATATCCCTCCTCACCAGAAATGTATTCTTGCAATGTCCACAGATGACCCTGACACCCATTGGCTGTGGTTCTGGACTCAGAGGTCCTGGATGCACAGGCCCTAGGTTGATGATTCTTTTGCTATACAGGGGGAAAAGTATAAAATTCTTAATTCTAATTGGATCTGATGACACACTGAATCTCAGCACTTAAGAGGTGTAGGCAGGATAACTAGGAATTCAAGGTGCTACTGCACAGGTCGTCCTGCCTCCGCCTCTCAGGCGCTGGGATTGAATATAGGCATGCACCACCTTGCCCAACTCCGGGTTTTTTGTTTTAGTATCTTTTTCTTTTTGCTTTACAACTTTCCCTAAGTATGGCCTTCTCATCTTAGGTCTCTTACCAGTAGGGCCGAGGGCAGGCAATCCGCTGAGAAGTCACTTTGCAGATAAGGAGACAATTACAGGGGCATCGGACATACTTCTTTCCTGGAGGTGCATTCTTGATGGGCTAGAGAACAATGAATAAAGGAACAATGGGTATCAGGAGAGAAGCCCATTATCCCAGTCCTCTGCAAGAACATTACTGAGAAAGAAGGAATCAGACATTTGAGATATAAAAGTGTTGCCAGCAAAGTAGAGTGTGTCTGTGAGGCTGAGGCAGGAAGGTTACAGAGTCTGAGGGGAACCT